GTTCTCACATGACTCAGATGATCTTTAGAAGATTTAGAGGTTCTCACACGACTGAGATGATCTTTACAATAGAGGTTCTCAAATGACTGAGATGATCTTTAAAAGATGTAGTTCTCACATGACTGAGATGATCTTTAGAAGATGTAGTTCTCACATGACTCAGATGATCTTTAGAAGATGTAGAGGTTCTCACACGACTGAGATGATCTTTAAAATAGAGGTTCTCACATGACTGAGATGCTCTTTAGAAGACGTAGTTCTCACATGACTCAGATGATCTTTACAAGAAAGGTTCTCACACGACTGAGAATATCTTTACAAGACGTAGAGGTTCTCACACGACTTCGACAGGTGATCTTTCTTGAAGAGCCGGCTGAGCAGGTGTTTACTGCGGGCGTAGCAGCTGGAGTCGGTGACGGGGGACTTGGCGGTGGTGGCCATCTTGAGTCGGATTTGGGAGACCACGCCCACCAGGAGCTCGTCCACGTTGTGGTTGAGAACCACTGAGGTCTCAATGTACTTGCAGTCGTAGGTCGTCGCCACGCTCTTGGCCTCTGGGGAGAAACAATGAAAAATTTGGGTTAGCTATTATCCAAAATTAATATTTTTTTTTGTAAGGTTTTTTTTTTTTTTTTTTTACAATTTCTCATTTGTTTTCAACCTCACGTATTTTAATAATAAGTCATACCACCGTCACCCCCACTCTCCAAAATTACGACACATATCACTTTATTTCCTGTAAAAAAAAATTCCAATTTGAAACTATATCGTCCATTATCAGGGGAAATAGAGTTCACCTGTTTAAGTGTCCTTCGCAAATGAAGGGATAGTGTGGTCAGCTCTATCCCCAGCCGCCATTACTTTTCCTAACGAGAGTCAGGTACCAGTCAGAGCTAGGTGAATTTTTTTTTACATTATTTTAAAATTTCTTTACCCATCTGTCCAGTTTATCCCGCAACACCGACCCCACTGATGCTTTCGCAGAGGCGTAGTGAGGGGGGTACATATGTCCCCTGGCGCCGACCTTAGGGGGCGCCAAAATGGGTTGGAAAATCAAATTAAAAAGTCATTTTAGCTGCATTTTTGTATTATAAATAGTTTAAGGGGGTGCAAATCGAAAGTTTGAGGGGGGGGGGGGGGTGCAAATTTAAAATTTGCTTCCGAGGGGGCGCCAAATTGAAAGGTTTGTCCCCGGGCGCCGGGAAGGGTCGCTACGCCTCCGTGTTGCTGTACAATATCTTCTATAAATTACACACATAGCCGCGACTCACCCTCCGTTGACACGCCCCTGGTTCTAACCAGGTCGCATTTGTTGGCCACCAGGATAACCGGTCCCAACCAGCCGTCCATTTTCCTCAGCTCGTAGAGCAGGTCCGTCGCCCTCTCGAAGGTAGAGCGGTCGTCAATGGTGAACACAATAACAAAGGCATCAGGGGTGGCGACGGAATGGAGGTCCTATGGAATAAAACGTCAATGGTGAACACAATAACAAAGGCATCAGGGGTGGCGACGGAATGGAGGTCCTATGGAATAAAACGTCAATGGTGAACACAATAACAAAGGCATCAGGGGTGGCGACGGAATGGAGGTCCTATGGAATAAAAACGTCAATGGTGAACACGATAACAAAGGCATCAGGGGTGGCGACGGAATGGAGGTCCTATGGAATAAAACGTCAATAGTGAACACAATAACAAAGGCATCAGGGGTGGCGACGGAATGGAGGTCCTATGGATTAAAACGTGAAACGTTATCATAGGCGTGGGAAAAAAAACACGTGCTGATGTAGGGGTATGAGCGTGCTGTGGACGGGGGCGTAGATAATGCATGGGTGGGGCGCCGTGCACCCCGAAAATAAATACAGACTCTTAAGGGGTCGGCGTAGTCGAGTCGGTAAAGCTCATGGTTGCTAAACCGAAAAGTTTCGAGTTCGAACACTCGGGCAGATGAGGCTCGTTAGCTGGGGACAGCCACTCTTCTAGGAGAGAAAACTCCAAAATCAAACAACTGCTGCCTTGTAGTTTGTTCTTGGTTGGACATAGGCTAAGGAAGCTAATCCGAAGGAGAAAGTTAGCTGAAATTTGAGTGAACGGTCTAAATGGCGCATAAACCATTGAAACATATATGAGTTGTAGGGAATCCTTCCAACTCTAAAATTGAGAACGAAGAAGACGATGAAAGAATAGACACATATAAACTTCTAATGAATGTTTCATTCGGTGCAATTTGTGATGCGTTTAGAGTGCGCTTAATATCTTAATGCTGTGTTGCCTTTGAATAATATTATGCAGTTCTTGCATTATGTCGCTGCTGGTACCTGCATGTTGTAAACTAGAGAGTACACGACAGGTTAATAGAGGGAGTGGCTAGACTAAATCACGTTCATTGATTTTTTTTGTTCTAGTAGACCTTCTTTATGTTCTCACAATTCTGTCAGATATTTTACTACGAACATCCCTGTTTTTTTTACTGTTTATTAATAGATTATGTCTATAAGTAGCTAAGATCGATCCTTATTTCTCTATAAACATTGATTATATCTGCTACGCTATTTGAAACAAATCGCCATCCATCTGGCTATTTATAACTCAATTGTAATTTCTAGTCTTTACACAACCCCATCCCTCTGTTATTTCCCGCCCCTCCCCCCCATTTCCTCAATGCATGCTGTGTTTGTCTGCAATGTGTCTTTCTACTATTACTCCTCCTAATCCATCGCATCAGAAATCCGACCCGATGTGGTTGTTTGCGAAACGTCATCCATGTTTAGCAAGAGAAAGTGGCTTGTGTTGTTGTTGTTGTAGAGTTGGTGTGTATGCGCGTTTACATGGTGTGGTGTTGTGTGCGTGCGGTGCGTGTGCGCATGTGTGTAAATGTGTTTGTGCGCGTATGTACGTGTACATGTTTATGCGTGTGTGTGTGCGCGTGTAAGCATGTGTATATTGATGTGTTTGTGGGTGCATGTATACATGTGTGTGCGTGTGTGCGCGCATTTGTGTACATGTGTGTGAGCATGTGTACATGTGATGTGCGTGTGCATGTGTGCATAGTGCGTGCCCTCTATGGTGCACATGTTATCAAACAAAGAATAATTTAACCCCAAGTGTGTGGGTGTCTTGGGATGGGGTTGGGGTAAGTAACATTTTATTTTTATTTGCGAAAGATAATACAATTCTAGCAGGTAGAATATCTGTAAAAGATCTAAGGGGAAATAATAGAGAATTGTAAGGCATAATATTATACGAGTAGTCTACCCTACAGTACTTAATCATTCTATTCTCAATCATGCATCCTCGCTTTCTGTTAGACAATTTTTTTATGGTTACAAATCAGCGTTTACCTCTTGGCTAAGCGACTACTGGGAGCAAACTGCTCACCGCCAAGCCTACACAATGGCTGTAGGCTTGGGTGGTGACACTACGAAGAATTTATCTACAGTAGGCCCTATATCGAAAACATTGCCATGAAGGGAGGGTAAGTTTTTCGCACTGCGCATGCGTTGTTCCCCCCCCCCCCCCGGCTAGATAGGTCCTTTTAAAAGTGTCATTTGTAGTGTCGATATCATGTTAGGGCGGAGTCAGAAAATCAACTTTGTGTTGTAAGCGTTGTGTTCATTTATAAACCAAACAATATCAGAAATAGGTGTGGGGGGGGGGGGGGGGGGGAAGGGGGGGGGGGTAAAAGATTTATAATTTTTAAATTCGATCTAAATTTGACATTCAAGTTTAAAAATTGAGAACGAAAGCCGAATTTCTAATCAAACTGATCAAATCTTATTTAAACAATTGTTTTGGTGAAAGCATCTTTAATTCAAGTGTTCATGGTTTGCGCAAGCAAAATTTAAATAATAACTTGTGCATATTCACAATTTACCGTAACAATTCCGACAACCTCCACCCACAACATCAACAGCTTTAAAGATGATTCTAAATGGCATCGTTAACGGTCACTGCTTACTATCACTTGGAGAAAAAGATGGAATATATTAGTCTACAGAGGGACGTTACTCTGACTTCATTTACTTGGTTGTGTCCCCTTGATATTCTCTAATTTATCGAGGCGTCTCTTTATATTGCCGGGGACTTAGGTACTGATAAAATAAACTACGCCTTGCTTTCTCTCCCTTTGTTATTCCCTCCCTTACTATCTGTCTATCCTAGTCTCTAGTGGTACAAAAGTCGACGGGTCAACGACCGCTTAAAGTACACCGTCATCTTTTGTGTCTCCATTTTTTCCAATACATTAGGCCTGTGGTCAACTACCGAGCTGAAAAGTCTCGGGTTCGGATCACGGACGAGTTTCTGTAGGACGTTTCCTGAGCAGTGTGTCTTCCAGACTTTTTTCTCCGGGGGGGGGGGGGGCTTTTGAAATTTTCGGGGGGGCGGTAGACTTTCTCCGGGGTGGGGGGGGGGGGGCGGACATTGTTAAAACTATATAATTTTCTATATAAATTATATAAATTTCATTTCGTTCGGGGGGGGGGGGGGGTGAACCACATTCTCCTGTGGGTAAACCACATTCCCCGGTGGGGTGAACCACATTCTCATGTGGGTGAACCACATTCTCTTGTGGGTAAACCACATTCCCCGGTGGGGTGAACCACATTCTCATGTGGGTGAACCACATTGTCCTGTGGGTGTGGGTAATGAGGACCAGACTGGGCTGACATCATTAGGGGCGGGTGAGGAGTTGGCGGTGAAGCCTTGCAAGACTTGGGGAAAACTGGAGGTGCTTTGTAAAAACTTGATTAGATCGGGCCGTGGGAGGGGGGTGTATTGTTGGGGTGGGGGATTGTGGGGTGGGGTGATTTGCGGAGGAGGTGACGGGAGGAGATAGTTACAGGGAGGAGGAGAGTCATGTTTAAGTGGCCAAAAAAGTATAGTAAGGAGGAGTTGGTTTCTGAGAGGAGGGTGGGATGTGGTTGGGGGACGGATTTTTTTGAAGTATACTTAATGTGTGAATTATGGTGAATTATAAGGAAGTAAAATATGGGTAGATGGTGAATTGCGGGGAGGATGAATTATGAGGAAAAATGTATTGTAGTGGAGTTGTATTTTAGAGCAGGTTTATCGTAAAACACCATGACGAGTTGTTAGTTAAGGTTGTGAAATTAAGGAGATGGGTCTAAAATTGTATTGGGTGTAAAATTCTATCTTGCCGATGAATATGAAGGGGTGTTGCGGTCTACACTTAGCTCAGCCGTCTTTATTTTCTCTAACGCAAGTCATGTACTCATCTGAACTGGATGAACAGAGTTCCTTCCAGGCATCTCTTCGGGGGGGGGGGGGGGGCAACTTCCCCCCCCCCCGCGAAAAAATTCTAACGCCCCCCCCCCCCCCCCCGAACGGGTTTGGTGACGGCTATTAGGGCAGATAATTGGTTTTTAAACATAGAGGAGGTAACTAAGAGGAGGCTGCTTTCACGGGGGGGGGGGGGGGGGTTTAGTGTTTTTAAGCAAATATTTTTAGTGCAGCATTGGTACTGTCGAATTCACAAATTATGAATTACTGAACAGTAGAAAATACAACAACTAAATAGCGGCGTATGATACACTGCGGGTCGGCTCGTATCTATCTATATATATAATTCTCTTCTGGGATCAGTTAGAAAACAAGCTGCAAGCGCGCCTTTGCAGTCCCCCTCTCTTCCTCTCTATCGCTACCCACCCCCACCCCACCCCCACATGATCTGGTGAGCGGGTGTTCACTCTGTTTACATTTTACAATCATAGAGACGGGTTTGGTGACGGCTATTAGGGGCAGATAATTTAGTTTGAAACGATTTAAAACTTAGAGGAGGTAACTAAGAGGAGGCTGCTTTCACGTGGGGGGGGGGGGGGGGTTAGTGTTTTTAAGCAAATATTTCAGTGGCAGCATTGGTACTGTCAAATTCCACAAATTATGAATTACTGGAAAGTAGAAAAAACAACTAAATAGCGGCGTATGATACACCGCGGGTCGGCTCGTATATATATAATTCTGTTCTGGGGAGCCGTTAGAAAACAAGCTGCAAGCGCCTCCTTGCAGTCCCCTCTCTTTCTCTCTATCACTATCACTACCACCCCCACCCCCATATTGTCTGGTGAGCTGTGTCACGCTGTTTACATTTTACAATCATAGAGACGGGTTTGGTGACGGCTATTAGGGGCAGATAATTTAGTTTGAAACGATTTTAAACATTAGAGGAGGTAACTAAGAGGAGGCTGCTTTCTCGTGGGGGGGGGGAGGGGGGGGGGGTTAGTGTTTTTAAGCAAATATTTTCAGTGGCAGCATTGGTACTGTCGAATTCACAAATTATAAATTACTGAAAAGTAGAAAAAAAAAACAACTAAATAGCGGCGTATGATACGCAGCGGGTCGGCTCGTTTGTTCATATTTCATGTATGTAGGCTTATATCTATATCTTTTAATCCTACCCCAATATTCGTTCATATTTCATGTATATAAGCCTATATC